TTCAATGGTAACACTAAAAAACAAAAATCTTCGAAAATGTCAAGGTTGGCCATGGCAATTAAAAAAAACAAATTGTGCTGTCAACTTGCTTATGTCGTTTAAACACAAACGATAGTTTTTTGTCAGATAAGTTTTTATTGGAGACAAAATGGAGAGTTACACATTTAGTGAATAAACTGACATGATTTTGACATTAGGGGAATGTCATGGAACCGCCGTATCATCCGCTAACCGTTATCGGGAGAAATTTCCGAACCGCAAAGCGCCCAATCGAAAAACATTTTTAAGGATTGAAACCAGTTTAAGGGAAAATGGGACGTTTAAGCCAAAATTTACTAACAACGGTAACGTAAGCTCAGTCCGAACACCCGTACTAGAAGAAGATATTCTAGACTACGTAGAAGAAAATACTACAGTTAGTACTTTGGATATGGCGAGGCATTTTTTAACTTCAAAAACAACTGTCTGGCGTGTTCTTCACGAGCAACAGCTTTATCCATTTCATTGTTACAAAGTTCAGGAAGTTCGACTGGCTGATTACCTACTTCGACTGCAATATTGCCAAATAATGCAGCACAAAATCCAAATTGATGATCAGTTTTTAGAAAAAGTGCTTTTTACAGATGAATTCACTTTTTCTAAAGATAGAATCATCAATTTGAGAAATTTACATAGTTGGGCGGACGAAAATCCAAGATTTAAGAAAACTTGGAAATCACAATGGAGATTTTCTCTTAACGTTTGGGCTGGCATTGTGGGCGATGTAATTATTGAACCCGTTTTCTTGCCATCAAGGTTGGATGGACATATATACAGGCGACATTTGGAGGAATTAGATGTTTTTTTAGATGACGGTCCTTTAAACACAAGGCAAGCAATGTGGTATATGCATGATGGTGCTCCTGCGCATAGCACACAGCTGTCCAAGCATTTCTGAAGGAACGTTTTCCGGGACGGTGGATTGGACGAGGAGTAGGTGCACCGATAAGTTGTTAAATTTATTGTTTTGGAAATTACATTCTTTTATTCAACTAAAATAAATTAACACTGGATTTAACTAAATCTGCACTTATAAATTTATGCAAATAATAGTTATTAGCTCTGTTTGTTTTTCAATTGTCATCGCCAACTCAGATCTTGCGGAATATGTTTCCTTTTTTTGTTTGTTACGATTCATTTGATCAATTTCGAACTGAGATCAGTGTTCTCCGCAGAGTGCGTTTTAATTTAACATTTTTTACCATCTGCTTTAGTATTTTTTTTGTTCTTTTTTATTTATTACTATTTGTTTATAATTTTATTGTTCTTGTTAATATTTTTGTGCACTTAGAAAATTATGCAAATAATGGTTATTAGCTCAGTTCGTTTTTCAATTGTCATCGTCAACTCAGATCTTGCGGAGTACGTTTCCTTTTTTTGTTTGTTACGATTGAAATTAAAGCTTAACATTTTCGCGTATAATTCGAAAACAGTCAATGTTATCAAAATGTTCAAAGAGTGATAAAAGTTTCTAAAATAAATTTTCTATTAAATGGTACAAAAAAATGTAGGGTTACGAGCGAACAAAAAAGTTTTGAGCAAACAAATTTTAGGGACACTTGTATAGCACGGATGCCGCCGCCCGATCAAAGTCAAAATTGGTTCAATGATTTTGCTTGATATTTGTTTACCCTGTACCAAATTTCAACGCTCTACCATAAATGGCATTGAAAATATTTAGAAAAATGTGTCAAAATTTCTGAACTTTGATGGCCCATATCTTGGCCATTTGAAGACTTTTGTAATAATTTTTTTTCATGAATCGTCATCATTTTTGCTCTAGTATATGAGGTTAATTTTATGCCCCGAGTCACCGGAACACCCTGTATATTATTAATCGTATTTACTACATCTTTTCTTGATTTAATTTTTGAATTTTGTTTCATATAATTTTTAAATTTAAATTTTATTTTATTATTTTGTTTTTGTTTCCGTTTTATTATAATGCATTTTTTTTTCTCTCGTTTTGTTTTTTTTTAAATGTTGATGAAAAACAATAACAGTCCATTTGGACTGCATTGACTCAACCCTTTTTGATGGTGTGCTTGTTGAGTATATTGTAAAACTCTATATAATAAGGTTAATTTTTTTTGGTTTTGAATTGTACCATGTTGATTACTATTGTGCTCATCATCAATAAACATTATTATTATTATTACTATATTATTATTATTAATATACCGAGAACTAAGAGAACTACCAGGCAGGCCATGTAGTAAGGATGTGTGAAAATAGTCTACCAAGAAGAACAAATAAATAGTAAAATGTAAGGAAAACGCACAATAGGAAAGCCAAGGAAAAGGTGGGAGAACGATGTCGCTAAACGAATAATGTAAGTGAAATTGGAAAAGACAACAAGGGATTATTTATAGAACAAATTGTTGTCAACGTTCGATGGTTTTATTCATACATATATATTAAAATAATTTAATTAAATAACGACGAATAGTTAATACATTTAAAAGTGTTTGATTTGTGTTTAATTTCATTTTATCGCAAACACGCATCAAAAATTTCTTTGTTTCATAACTGTTAATATCCAGCTGAAGAAAAGATATACATTCCTATATTCCTTAAAAAATATGTACAATTTAATTATTATTACATTGTTATAATTGAATTACTTATACATTTGCAGCCGCTGCATGCGATAAATCACGAACTATCGGTAATTCCACTTTTAGTTCTTTTTGACTAATGCAAAGTAAGATCAAAATGTCTTTACGTATTGATATATCAGCTTCGTACCAATTCATGTTATAAACAGCTTCTGCCACAATACCGGCCTATTTAAATAAAATATTACAAATTATAATGAATAGATAAAATAAGATATTCATACCGCGTTAGTTAAGCGCTGTCCAAATGTATGGTATACAAATAGGCTTAAGATGTTCAGTATGATAGTACAAAAACTCTTTACATCTTTTCCCTAAAAATAGAATATTAAGTTAACTTATTGTAGAATTAGAATGAATTATATTGAATATATGAAATAAAAACTTACAAGCATAAATTCAGTAGTACCTGCGGTCAAAGAAATGAAAATAAATATTTTTGTTGGTAAAATGAAACTGGTGTAGAAATCCTTAGCGAAGTGAAACATTCTAAAACAATGTACTTATATCCTAAACATTTAAAACATATTAGATTCAAATACTTGAATATTTGTTGTTGATTCATTACAACAGCCTGCAAAGTTATAAAATTTCGTTTCTTATTTTTTGTAAATTTTATATTATCAATCATCTCTTTAATATTTTCTATGCGAATAACCAATAATTTTAACGAATACATATATATAATCAACGCAAGTAACATGATATTCATGGCAACTTTTATAGAATATGCTTGAAATAACAGTATTAAAGTTAGTTCCCAATGTTTCAATTTAGTCGGAGAATAGTATTCAATTACTGCACAATATTTAGTATTTTTGAAATTAACACAATTACTCTCAAACAAAATACAATATGTAACAAAATGCGCAATAAAAAATCCTCCATAACGAATCATTTTTAATGCGATACGAATGTTATTGTCAATGATTTCAACTCTTTTCGAAATACTGAAACCACTAAAATCACTTAATAAATCAATTATTTCCATCATACGATGTCGATTTCGCCATAATTGAATATTAACAGATAAAAGTAGTGCGGCCATCATAAGAAATTCGATGTGAAACAATATTTTAAAATTTTCCTTGCATTCTAAAATGATTATAAATCTCTTATTTTTATTAATCTTTAATCTGTAATGTTAGAAAACTTACTTATAATTTCTTGTATAAATGGATAACAATTCCAAATCAGATTTACACCAATTAGAATTGTTGGTGCAAAACCTCGTACTCCTTGCGAAATAGGCCAACTGTAATATAGTCGAAAATATTTTTCTATAAGATAAAAACCGAGTGTTTGCGACATTCTGTAAGCAACTGAACTGAAACATCAAACGTCTACGTATGATCATATTAAAAATTGAATAATGAAAATTGATTTACAATCAATGGAATTTTTTATCAGGGAGAAAAAAGGGTATAAGAAAATCCACATCAAGTAGCTGTATTCTAGATATACATAAAAAAACTGATTGGATTACTAATTTATTAATGAAATAACTTTACCCCTAATTATTTAAAAAATATTTCATAATTCTACGTTTTATCTCGGGTTTCTTCTTCGCCTTGTGATCTAAAACGTATCAAATTTTCTTGGAGATTTATATTAATTTAAATAATTTATAATAAACTCAACCAACCAGAAAACTCCAATCTATAATAAACAATTTGTCAAGAAATCTTAAATATCGATAAATAACTGGTGTCAGATCGGTTGTGGTATAGGCTTTTTTGACGTCTAAATTTCAAGATAGAAACTCCAAATTCGATGTACAGGTGTGTCAAATGTGTGGAATATAGCCAATAACTTCGCCATTTGTGGTTTTAAAGTAAAATATTTCAAATATAAGATTCTTTATTAATAGTGGTGCATTTTTTGGCGATATTTGCTTGTTCGTATTGTTTTTTGTTTCGTTGCTATGGCAACCAACATTGTTATTTTAAATGGGATGCATATGTTTCTTTTACATACTTTGATAGAGGATAAATCAAATATTCTGCTGAGAACCGGTATAAAATACAAGGAATTGAGGTATGTTAAAAGTATTGAACAGCACATTGAGGCGTCAGCAGTTGAATTAACAGGCAGGAAGATGATAATCCTGTCCATCTATAGGTCTCCTGACGGCGACATAAATACCTATCTAAGTGCCTTAAACGAGATCCTAACTCACATTGATGAAAATTATCCAAACTATAAACTTATAGTATCGGGAGACTTCAATATCGATTTTCTGCATGAAAGTGTCAATAAAGCCGACCTATTAGAATTGATGAGGGAATTTGGACTGCAACAAACGTTTGACTCACCCTCTAGAGTGAATAGAAAAACTAGTAGTTGTATTGATAATATATTTTGTAACCTAAATAACAATTGTCTAAGAAACACCACGATGCAGCTTCACATCGGTGACCACTACGGACAAATACTGATGATAACCAACAAAGATCTAAAAAAGGAAAAAACACAAAAAATTAAAAAAAGAATTTATAACGATGAGAACACTCACTTTTTTAAAATCGCTCTTTCCACAGTGGATTGGCAGCCTCTCCAAAAATCCGAGAACGCAGGTGAGTTGTATGATGTTTTTCATAATATATTCTGTGCAGTCTTCGATGATTGTTTCCCGTTTGCCTATAATAAAAAACGGAATACTAAATTTAAAACAATTTATATGTCTAAGGAGACTAGAAATCAAAAGGACACACTAGATCTTTTGGGGTGGCTGGCCTCTGTAACTAGCATATTTGTCCAGAGAATCCTATGACAAATATGCTCAATGTAAACAAAAGTACTTTGATCTCTTAGAGAGCGAAAAGAAAAAACATTACACGAGAAACATTTTAACGGCCGATAATAAACAAAAAAAGATGTGGGAGGTTATTAATAAGGAACGATCCTATCATCATGCACAAAAAGAAGTAGGAACGAATTTAACTGCACAAAACTTTAGTAACTACTACGCTGAAGAAGTTGAAAAACTGGTAAAGGGTTTGAATCCGACAACGACGAGTTCCAACGTTTACGTAAAGAATACAGCAAGAATTTTTTCAAAAAGTCTTTACTTTAGTCCCTGTACCAAAGACGAGATAACAAATATAATTAACCATTTAAAACCCAAAAAGAGCGAAGATGTCTATGGACATTCAACAGCTGTTGTAAGGAAAGTTGCGAGTGAAATCTCTGAACCGTTTTGTATGGTTTTAAACATATGTATTGAAGAGGGAGTTTTTCCCGAAAGGATGAAACAGGCCAGGATCGTTCCAATCTACAAAAAAAGAGATGACAACGATTGCTCACATTACAGACCGATTGCCCTCCTTCCAGTGTTTTCGAAAATCTTCGAAGAAGTAATAAAACGCCGACTAATCAGCTACTTGCAAAAAAATAAAATATTTGACGATAGCCAACATGGTTACAGGACCGGAAGATCGACGATCACAGCTGTTACCCGAATGATACGCGATGTCACGGAAGCTCATGACAATCGAGAAAGCGTGGAAATGACCTGTTGCGACCTCACCAAAGCTTTTGATACGGTGGACCATAATCTATTATTGGATAAGCTTTTACGGCATACGGGGATCAACACTAAGTCTAATGAAATCGTATCTGAGTAACAGAACACAATATGTCGCTTGGAATGGTTCAATATCCGATGTGAAAAACAATAGATACGGTGTACCCCAAGGATCAATCCTGGGACCGATCTTATTTATACTGTATATGAACGATCTTCCTCGAAACATAAAAAACTCAGAAACGTATCTATATGCGGATGATACGTCGTTCGTAGTAAAAGGGAAAACGAGAGAAGAAACACAATTGAGAACTAACGATGTCTTAGAAGACGCGTCTGATTGGTTGCGAGCGAACAAGCTCATCCTCAATGAACAAAAGAATCAAAAAATTAACTTTCTCACGAAAGGAAACTATAACGTGGTGAACTTTCTTGGCTTGAAGTTGAACAATCGTCTCACCTGGTGTTAGATTTTATATTATATTGGTTAATTTATATTAGATTTGATAGGTTTATATTATATTAGTTCATTTATATTGGATTTATTTGTATCGCCTCATTTGTTTAGTCTAGATTTGAAGTGTCTCGAGTCGCAAGATTAGGGTTTTTTATCGCATTATTTATTGGGTCGAGTGAAGTGTGGGAATGCGTTGGGGTGTATATTTCGGTGTTTAGGTAAGGGTTTTTAGTTATGACCTAAAATAAAGAAGGAGCCTGCGAGCTCAACTCGTATCAGTTATTCAGTCTTCGATTTAACACCCACCGAAACAGTACCCCTTCAATACACGCGGAGCAAGGCTCCCTATATAACTAATCGCAATTTATATGTATAGTTTAAGTGTAATTAATAATAAAGTTTATGGAAACGTAAAACCAAGATTTTGTTGTTAACCAGCGCCCACCAGATAAAAATAAATAATCACCTGGGATGACCATGTGAGTGCCCTTTGTAGAAGACTCGCGAGTGCAGTTTTTATGGTGCGAAGATTGGTGAAGTGTACCCAACCTGAAGTAGTAAGAACAGCATATTTCTCATGTTTTCATTAGTGGTTCGCACGAGAGTCTCGTTTTCGAGAGTCTCGCATGGTCTCGCCTCGTTTTCGAGACGAGACTCGAGACGATACTCGGACTAACTCGGACGAGACAAGACGAGACTTTCATTGGTCTCGTCTCGAGTCTCGTGCATGAAGTCTTGCGTCTCGTACGAGAGTCTCGCAGGTAAATATTTCTACGTGCGGACTTGAAAACCTAATAAAAATATACCGTATTTTCTCGAATCTAATCCGCACCCTTTTTACAAATTTTATATGCTCTAAAATCAAATGTGGATTACAATCGGATGTGGATTACATTGATAAACCAACTTTTTTTACCAAAAGTACATTTTTAAAATCGAGGTGCGGATAAGATTCGAGAAACTACGGTAAATAAAAAAAAACTTTTTAAAAGAACACGTTTTAATAATATTTTCAAAATGAATTAAAAAGTATAAAACAATTCTTTTTATTGAAAATATTGTATTCACTACTAATTATTCATTATATAATACCAAGAATTGTTTTTAAAAACCACTATTGGCGTTATCGGTTGACGGTCATCGTCTTCACTTTGTTTACTTTGCTTCGCTTTGTCTATCCGAAGCACGCTGCCGCCACCGGCTTTGAACCGTATTCCGACTGCCATAAATTTTGCGATATGCATGTGTTCTATCGTGTCTAAATAAATAAAGATATTACGAAACAAAAATAAAAGCTTTACCTTTAACTGGTGTTGTGGCGCCTGGGACCGCCCAAGGAACCCAACTAATGTTTACTTTAGGAGTCAAATTTCTTCTCAGTTTGATTATTCGTTGTACGGTGTGTGGATAGTAGTTGTTCGAATTTTTAAGCGTGCGGAATTGTGGCAAGTTAATTCACAATGAACAGATACAAGAGGAAGAGAAGCGAACTTTTGGCTTTAGAAGATGAATCAAATTCCCGTGATTTTTCTAGTGAAAGTGAGGATATTTACATGCCAGACAATGTTAGTTTAAGTGATAATGTAACTGAAAGTGAATTGTCATCTTCGTTAAGTACCAGTCGCTCTTCGTCTCGCATACAAACACTAAACGACTCTCACAAAAGCAAATTCGATACGTATTTTAACATTGAATTGAAAGGGACAAATCGAGATAAAATAGCCAGGTGCAGAATATGTATAAATTCGAAGGAAATTGAAATGGCACGGGGCAATACTACCGGTATAAGAAAACACCTACGCAGTAAACATCCAAAAGCATATTTTGAAATATATCCACAAGAAGAAAAACAACTGGCGGAAGCAAGTACTTCTAGACTTACTATTTCCGAAATGTTTGCTGTGAAACCGCAAATGAAGGTAAGCTATTAGGTAATTTTATAATTTAATTATTTTAACGCTACATAATTCTTGGATTTCTTGCCTGATTGTGTGATTGTCAGGTTCAGTATAAATTTTGTAGGCAACTTTTTAAAATACAAAAATGAAAAAATTAGAAAAATAATACGAAAAGCCGAATAAAATTGTTGGCAGTTTGATTAAAAAAATTTAAATTTTGCATATCTACATTTTTGTGCATCTTGTACAAAAAAATGGAATTTTTCCAATATAAATTGTATTTATTTTATACATCGAGCAAAAGAAATTAATGAAAAGTAACTTTTTTTTCATAAAATGAACAATAAAAAAGTTTCCATATGCATAACTTAAGAGGACACACTGCATACCATCGATGCCCATATTTTTATTTATCGCATATTTGTGTTTTAAATATTGAAATCAATAAGTTTTCCAAACGGTTTCCAAACGACTACCACTACACTAAAGAGCAGAAAATAGAGTGTAGGAAATAAAACTATTCATGCATCAATTATGTATTGCATATTGCATTACACAAATTGTGTCATTCGTCATTTCCCAAGTAGTTAGATAAATAGCTATTTTTTACCTTTAGTCCGTGTTATAAGATTTTGTCGCATTCTTTATTATTATTTTCAGAGCACATCAGTGAAAACAAAAAAGGATAATTTTGATTCATTGATTGTTGATAGGATGGCAAAAAAATATTTACCTTTTAATTTCTTCAATGACGAAGACACTCAGAATTTTTTTAAGGAAATATCTGGAGAGGATTTTCCAAAAAAAAATAAATTGAGAAGATTGGCAATGTTACGATTCGACTGTCTAAATAAGAAAATGACTGACATGTTGGTAGAAAATTCTTCGAAATTATCATTTACTATAGACGGCTGGACCTCTATCAGCGGCAGATCTTATTATAGAATTACAACACATTTTATAGATGACAATTGGGAATTGCAATCTATCGCTCTAGATTTTGTTCCTGCCCATGGGAAACATTACAGGAAAAGACATCGCTCTTACGTTTTTCAAATGTCTTAACGCTAAAGGCTTAATCCACAAACTTCAAGGAATAACAATGGATAATGCCTCAGCAAATACATCTTTTATTAAGGAACTTCATGAACTTATTCCCGATTTAAATGTAGAGGACTGCCATTTTCGATGTTTTGGACATATAATTAATCTGGCCGTGCAAGATTTGTTTAATTTTTTGAAATTAAATTCTGAAGCAAATGAAGAATTGAGTGACGATAGTGTCGATGAAGAAGTTGAGGAAATTGAAGATAATTCTAATGCACTATGTAAAATACGTTCTATCTTTTCGAAAATTAAACGATCAGAGCAACTTTTAATTAAGTTTCGAAGTGCATGTGAAGCAACTGGTAATTCTCGCCAATTGACACCTGTGTTGGATGTGCCTACACGCTGGAATTCCAGTGATGATATGTTGAAAGTAGCTCTTGAAGGTAGACATGGACTTGGTGTATTGTGTCAAAATGTTGGTGATTTAAAACCATATGCTCTTGAGGACAAAGAATGGATACTGCTAGAAGAAGTGCATAAATTACTAACAAACTTTCAAATACTTTCCAAGAAACTCGGAGGAGAGAAGTACATCACATTACCTATGGTTGTTGTATATATCAATATACTAATTGATAATATTGAGAGCAAAATATTTGCATGGGACCGAAAAGCAGATCGAAACGCTGTCGAAGAGCAGCTTATTGTTAGTTTTCAGGCTGCGAGAGACAAAATATTAAAGCATTACCGTAAAACTAATTGGATATATGCTGCAGTTTTAATTCTCGATCCGCGGCATAAGATAGAAGTTTTTGATATAACAAGATGGGGCCAAGAATTAAAAAAGACTTCGATTCAGAAATTTGAAGATGTTTATAAAGCCTATTTCCATCAATCAGAAGGACAACGTTCGAAAGCAACGGCATTGGAGGAACGAGAAGATTCTAGAGCGGAAAAGTCGGATTTTGTAATTGATTTTGATGCTTTGTATGCAGTAAATCCTACGCCTTCCGAAGGAGAATGGATGCAGGAGCTTCAAAAATATTATTCTATGGCTCGGTGTAATAAAGACACAGATATACTACAATGGTGGAAAATTCATGCTTCTGAATTTCCTATTCTAAGTTTAATGGCACCAGACCTCTTAAGCATACCGGCTACTTCAGTCCCGGCGGAAAGACTATTCTCACGTGCTGCGTTAACTATAAGAAAACATCGAAATCGGCTTAATAATAAATCTGCACGATGTTTGTTATGTCTAAATGATTGGGTAAAAAACAAAATCATTTGCGACCGAGAGGGCTGAGGGCTGTTTTTTTACTTATTTCATTTTTAAAATAATGTTAAGTTTTTATTTTGTTTAGATATATTACTTACAAATAAATTATGTTATCTTTCAACAAGTGTAATTCTCTCTTCCGACTCTTACATTATAGCAAGTATTTAAGTATTCCTTATTGCACTGAATCAATAAGATTATGCATGACGAGACTTCGATACTTTTATGAGACTCTCGTACGAGAAGCGAGACGAGACGAGACTAGAGGTTGCGAGACGAGACTTGATACAAGACTTATTAGTTCATCCGCGAAACGAGACAAGACTTTACCAAAATCTCGTCTCGTTGGTCTCATGCGAATCACTATGGAGAAGTAGCCAGAGATATCAATGTTGCCTGAAATTTATACGAAGAAAGGTTTCCAGACAGAAACATCCCACCCTGTACTTCATTTTATCGTATTTTGAAACAATTAGGCAAGGCTGAAGAATTTCAACATAGAAAAATTGGGTACAAGAAAACGACTACGGTTAATGATAATACAACCAACGTATGTTATTTTTCAAAGTTTCAACCTGAGAGTTTCTTTGATCTCTGATACATTTTTTATTAGTTCAACTTTTAGCGTACCAAATTTGCATGTTTCATTTCATAGCCTTCATGCACATTGCATATAAAAACATCGTCATCTTTACCTCTATGTTTATCTTTGTGTACTTTGTGCCATCAATAATTTTTATTCTTTATAATACAAATTTTCCAATTAAATTAAAAATAATAAAATTAAATCATGAATGAAACAAACGATAAACTAAAGCTTCGTCTCACTTATTGACAATGAAAAATCCAAATAGCCATGGTGTCATCATTTCAGCTAGGTCATGACGTCTGAAACTAATAACAGCAGTTAAATCGAAATTAATTTTAAAGTTTTTAACACCCAGAGAAAATTATTTAAGTTTCATATTTGTAACATTTAACACGATAACGAAATGAAGCTATTTTTATTGAATTCAGTGTTTATAAATTTAAATTGACGGATGATTTGATCAAAATCGAAACCAATAGAACTTAAAAATAAAAGTAAAATCCATTGAGAAAAGTGCAAGAATTGAGTTTTTATTATATTTAAGAAATGAATATTATAAATTTTTGTTAAAATTTGGACCAATCGATGCTAGGTTGTTTTTGGAACCCATTTGTGGTAAATCTTCATTTTTCCCTTTTCTTTTTTTCTTGTTTTTCGTATTTTACGTTTTACCGCTGTCGCGATGCCTGTATATTAAGTTGGCTATCTTATATAGTACATAGATAAAAAGTTAAATACACAATTATTTTTAATGGTTAATGTGACCATCCGTCTTCTTTTTCTTCGATTGTGAACATAACAGATCGGGGTGAACACAATCTTTACTTATATTCGTCCTCTTCCTGTTCAACAATTTATCATCTTGCATTGAAGCCATCGTTTCCTGCTTATTCCTTGATAATAATTCAGAGGTGTCATTCTCTTTTTCATCTTTCTTAGCCAACATTTGTTTCGGCAGTGGAGCTACATCGTCCACTTTAGCGATATCGGAAACTAATTCTCGTAGGTTATTATACATGTACCATTGGCGCTCCAAAGACAATCCCACTGGTTTTATAATGTTTGGCATGAGATCATTAACAGGCTGCTGTAAAAGTTTGAATTCGATGGTTTCCTCGCTGTCTGCAAACTGTCTTACTTTCACAGAATTCGAAGAGATAATGAAGTGATGATATTGCGTTATTCCAATCAATGGTTTGTAGAATTGTTGCAAATAATTAGCCCAGTCGTACCATGTTACATTTTCAGCGGAGACAGCTTTATTGTGACCAGATGGGGACGAGGCAACAACACATTTCATTAAGTCGTCGTGAGTGTCGATATTACTAACAGCGTATTTTGCTTTGAATATGCCGAAAAACCTATCGGGTGTAAATTTTGTGTGACCTGTTAGAAGAAAATTAAATAAAATAGCTTTCTGAAGTCCCTTGGCTACTCTCCACATTAGATATCCTATAACCACATTATTTTTATTCTGACCCACACAATTATCGCTAAATAACACTAGAGTTTCAGTATTACTGGATGTCTTAAGATAATGATGAAGTATGCTTACAACACAGTTCGGGCCTTTTCCAATGGAGTCTTTCTCATCGATCAAATAATTAAACTAAAAAGTTAATACAAATTTATTTACAACGCATTTTGCAATAATTATTATATATCACGTACCTGCAACTTTTCTTTTTCATTTGCAATACCAAATACGGCGCATTTCCTAGTTTTTTTAAAGAAAGCGTTTCTTGGCTGTTGCGGACTCGTGGGATAATGAACCGTTTGTGCAAAGTCGAATGATACTACTTTTACTGTATTAACATTATTTCTACAAAAGGTTTGGTAATACGTTCTTTGATTCCTGGCCTTTTGGAGATGGTTTAGAAACACAGATACCTTCTCTTCACGTACTTCATCACGACAATTTCTTAATTGCAAAATTTTCAGCGAATTACCTATACAAACAACGATAATTGATTCAACAGATATTATTATTAAAACTAGCATTATCACTAGAACTAACACGAGACCTAGAAACTTACGGGTTAAGTATATGTACAGGGTGGCCAAATAAGTAATGATATTTAAACTAAAACTAACACTAGCACTATCACAGGAACTAACACTAGTCCTAGAATCTTTCGGGTTAAGCCGGGCGTTTTTTGAAAAAATGTTTGACGTTTCGTTTAAAATTTCACAATAAATACATGATAAGGTAATTAATAACTAATTAGTGTGTAATTATCAACTAAGTTGTTTTGTCAAATCCGGGTCGATGAATCTCTATCGCCTCTCTCGTCAATCTTTGGAATCTTTGCTAGCACTTTGGTTTTTTCGAACTCTATGCTGTGTCCTCCTTTGTGGAAATGCTCTGCGACTGCAGATTGTTGGATCTTCCTTAGTTGGACGTCTCTTTCGTGTTCCTTGATGCGGCACTCGATGTTACGTTAGTTTGTCTTTGGCTATCGGAAGAGCGTTTTGTATTTTGCTGACCGTACCGTATCGTACCACAATATCATTCTATCTGAACGTGATTTCCAAAGATGTCGGGATAAGCAGATTAAGAAATTCGAATCGTTGGACCGCCGCACCCACAAGAGGAAAAACAACGATTTGCCAATTGAAACAGTCGTTATCAACCGATCAAGCGTCCCATTAACAGAGGAGGAAACTAAAGTACTCGCCAAAGGCTTAAATTATGCAGTCGCTCCAAAGAGGGTTCCCAAAGAAGAAATTATATGTGAAGTGGAAGCGGCTATTCGCAGAATACGTGCAGTGAAAGCAGAGGAAATTCGTCAAGACATAGCGAGAGTGCTTAAAACAGTAAAGTCACCAAAATCAAACTTAACAATGAACGAAAGAAGAGCACTACGAACGATAAGGGAAAAACCAGACATTATCATCCTACCAGCGGACAAGGGGAATGCCACCGTGGTTATGGACAGAAAGGAATACGACGAGAAGATCAAGAGCCTGTTGGACCCAGCCACCTATAAGAAAATAAAAAAGGACCCAACCGAGAAGATAGTAAGGAAGATGAAAGAACTGCTAAAATCCACAGAAATCCCAGCAGATCAACAGAAAAGCTTATTCGTACAGGCTCCAGTACCACCAAGGATATATGGATTACCCAAAATCCATAAACCAGACGTCCCACTACGCCCTATTGTCAGTGCCATAAATTCTCCCACCTATCAACTAGCAAAACACCTTTCCAAGGTTCTGTCTCCTTTTACAGGTAAAACAGTCATATGTCAGAGATTCCACACATTTTGTAGAATCAATTAGGAGTATGAAGCTAGACCCTCAGGATATGATGGCAAGGATGTCGTGGATGGTCTTCGCCAGAAACTCATCCCGGAATGTTTGCCCAAGTATGTCCCAGGACTAGTGGAATACCACCTATCGTCGACATATTTCAGCTGGAAGGGGGAATTCTACGAGCAATGCGAAGGAGCAGCCATGGGATCACCTCTGTCTCCTGTGATAGCCAATTTTTATATGGAGATGTTTGAAGAGGAAGCGCTAAAGAAGAGTCCTTGGAAACCGAAGCTATGGCTCCGTTACGTCGATGACACTTTCGTGATCTGGCAACATAGAAAAGAGCAACTCCATGAATTTCTAGAGCACCTCAATTCACAGCACCCCATGATAAAATTTACCATGGAAACAGAAAATGCAAAACAGTTGCCATTTCTGGATGTGTTAGTTACTAGGAAGACAGATAGGGGCATGGAACTGGGAGTATATCGAAAGAAGACACATACGAATAGGTACCTGCAGGCTTCATCCCACCACCATCCACAACAGAAGAAGTCCGTGATTCAAGCCTTATTCCAGCGAGCAGAGAGGATATGCGATAAAGAGAACCTAAGAAAAGAAGAAAGATTCCTAGAAGATGTGCTGCAGAAGAACGGCTACACGATGAGAGATATCCGACGAGCCACCAAACCACAACAGAAGGATGACTCGGTAAGTACGACACCAGCCGGTTTTATCTGCCTTCCTTATGTTTCAGGTGTGACGGAGCGAATTGCGAGGCGTCTGAAGAAGAATGATATCGTGGTACAATACAGTACGGTCAGCAAAATACAAAACGCTCTTCCAATAGCCAAAGACAAACTAACCCCATTAAAAGGAGCGGGAGTCTACCGGCTATTTTGCAGTTGCGGGAAATATTACGTTGGCCAAACTGGACGTAACATCGAGTGCCGCATCAAGGAACACGAAAGAGACGTCCGACTAAGGAAGATCCAATAATCTGCAATCGCAGAGCATTGCCACAAAGGAGGACACAGCATAGAGTTCGAAAAAACCAAAGTGCTAGCAAGAAACGGACATTACTTCCAAAGATTGATGAAAGAGGCGATAGAGATTCATCGACATGGGAATAACATGAATAGAGAAGATGGCTGGGAACTCAGCCGCACATGGAAGATGTTGGTAAACTCAACGAAGCCTTCTCCACCCGGATTTGACAAAACAACTTAGTTGACAATTACACACTAATTAGTTATTAATTACCTTTTCATATATTTATTGTCAAATTTTAAACGAATTCGTCACTTCGAACTTGTTTCTGAAGAAGGTTACAACATGGCATACGAAACGTCAAACATTTTTTCAAAAAACGCACGGCTTAACCCGAAAGATTCTAGGCCTAGTGTTAGTTCTTGTGATAGTGCTAGTGTTAGTTCTAGTTTTAGTTTAATTAATATCGGCCGTGAAAGCCTTCGTAGTTATAAGTAATGATTTCGTTATAGTAATCGGCGGAATCAATAATGTACTTTGTAATAAATCCATAAGTCCTGGTATTGTTGAAAAGATGCAAAAGATTGCATCTGTAATAAACTTAATCTACGTAAATGTATCTTATTGGCCACATAAAGCTATGTTAAACAACACAATAAACAATTTTAATGAATATATGTTTCATAAATTGTATGATTGTTGTAAAGTTGTTGAAACTTATCTGGCAAACTGTCAGACGAAACATGGTCTTTATTATAACAGGCTAGGAAAGTGTAAACTATTCGATCATATTTGTAATCATATCTTATGTAGCAATCTTGGTTCCTTCAAGCGGATAAAGAAGCCAAATGCGAATAGGGAGGTTAATACATATCAAAATCGTTCTTTTTTAGGAACACAAAAGCGAAGTCTGCCGTGTCAAATGTTTTCTACACCAATATACAGTGCCTGAGTAATAAGCTGAGCGTTCTGGAGGCTTTCCTCGCTGACAAGGAGTTTGATATTCTCTGTTTAACGGAATCTTGGCTGAAATTAACTGAGTGTGGTTTCCTTAAGTTTCTAAATTATAATCATTGCTCATCATTTAATAGAACAACTCATATACACGGTCCCACTGTTTCAAATTATGGTATACATTTCTCTTTACAATTTGTCTTAAATTATGGTATACAAAACTTTGGAAACTGCTTTATTGTATTTGTTATTGTATAGTAAATCAGTTTGTAACTTAATTTAATGAAAATTTTACACATTTCAACACAATTCAGCTGGTTCAATGTAAACGCCCTTCATGGTGAAGCTTTTGTTTATTCATGAGTTTTCATATTTTTCTCGATATCTATGCGTCTGAGAGCAAAAGCGTAAGAGAGTGTAATTTTGTTAAGAATACAATTTGCTACAACTTTCGTTCGAAAAGTTTTTCTGCAGCATGCTCAGATTCAAATTTATTCAATTTTGTAGTTGTTGCCTGCTGGTTGGCAGGCCATCATGGTTGACTCCATGCACTTTTATAGTGTCGAGAATACGTTATTTAACTTTGCTTTAGTTAATGCGTCGAAGGCACTTTTAACACAATCTATTAATTCATTCATAGTTTGTGGCGATTTTGATATTTTGAGAATTTCTGACTTGAACCTAAGAAATAGTAATATCTAAGGTAATGAATAATGTTATCTTGATTCATTATCATTAATTTTTATGGGAAACATTTTTCTCTATCACCTTTAATTTTCTACTTATAACAGAATTTAACGCAGATGATTGTCAATTTTGATATTTTGAGAATTCCTGGCTTGAACCTAAGAAATGGTGATATCTATGGTGGCATTGACTATGGATTATGTTATCTTGCTTCATTATCATTGATTCTTATGAGAAACGTTTTTCTCTATCACCTCTAATTTTCTACTTATAACAGAATTTAACGCAGATGATTGTTAATTTTGATATTTTGAGAATTCCTGGCTTAAACCTAAGAAATAGTGATATCTGTGATAGCATTGGTTATGAATTATGTTATCTTGGTTCATTATCATCAATTTTTATGAGAAATGTTTTTCTCTATTACTTTCAGTTTTTTAATCATAACAGAATTTAATGTAGATGATTGTCAATTTTGATATTTTGGGATTTCTTGGTTTGTACATAAGAAATGGTGTTAGCTATGGTGGCATTGGTTATGAATTATGTTATCTTAATCCTTTATCATCAATTTTTATAGGAAACGTTTTTCTCTATCACCTTTAGTTTTTTTAGTCATAACAGAATTAATGTAGATGATTGTCAATTTTGATATTGTGGAATTTACTGGCTTGTGCATAAGAAATTGAGAAATTGCTTATAAATTATGTTATCTTGATCCATTATCATCAATTTGGAACCAATCAACTTGGATCTAATGGCTGGTACAACCTTATCGATAATCATCTTTTTGCATTCTGCTGCGTTAATAGACTCGATGTTTTTGGTCACCATTTTTCCTCTTACCCGGTTCTTGCTGTTTCTTTTTGCAGGTTCTTTATAAACAAAAGGCCAAAGTGCTATTTTACCGTTGAAATACTGTTTTTTTAGCACTGTCATACCGTGGTATGGAAGATGCAGCCATAAACATAACTTTAGTTATGAACCGTTTGCTTTTACAGCACCTTTCTGGTTCTGCTTCGTCCAGCGTTATGTAGTATGCAATCCTGGGACCTCTTCTTTTCTTAATTTACGTCAATGATTTAGCTAACAGCATACACGGTGCGTCCGTAATCATGTATGCAGACGACACCACTTTAATCAGTAAAAGCAAGGATTCCCAGACTGCTTGTGATTTGGCTGATTCATCGAAGACTAATGCTGAGCTATGGTTTGCAATGAATAAATTGAGCCTGAATAAAGATAAAACAGTTTTATCAACGTTCACACTACGAAAGCAGTTTAATGTTAATCCGAGTAGTATAAGATTATTGGGGGTTTATCTTGATTCTTCGTTGACTTGGGAGCAACACACGAACGCGGTTTGTGAGAAGCTCAGTGGTAGCGTTTATTTTCTGCGGGCTTTGAGTAAGAATATGTCGCGGCAGTCATTAAGGATTCCATATTTTTCCCTCTTCCTAATCGTTGATCGTGTCTTCAGACTGCAGCGACGTGCAGTCCGCGTCCTCAATAATGTAAAGTATCGTGATGATTGTAGAAACTCATTTGTTTCATTGAAAATGCTGACATTCTGGGGTGCATGATACCCCACCTCATATACGAAGGGTTAAAAAAGGTGGTGTTTCGCGGAATTCCACTGGATTAACATAACAAAAAAGGCCTATAACAAAAACTAGCCTTTTAAAGTTATAGTTTTTTGTTAAAACACTTTTTGCCCTATCTCTAAAAATAAAGTTGTGGGGGTGTTCGAAAATGTTTGTAAACAAATATAAACTTGGTATCGTTGAAAAGAGCTTTTCTTGGAATACAAACCCTACCTTATTTGTAGTGATTGTAATTTGGTATATCGCCACTAGAGAGCTTTTTCGATATTACAATAGAAATTGATTTATTACAAAAAATTGCAAAATGAAGCTAAACAAGCTAGTGAAAACCGTGCCTCGAGATCTTGTTCCTAACTTAAAATATCGGTGAAAGATGATTTAATGAGAAAATTCAATGGTTTTAATCAGTTGGTCAATCAATTACCGATTTTGTTAGAAGATGTGCCATTGGAAATACGACAAAATTTGTTCTTACAACTGGCCGGTTGTCCAGCACATTTTGCTATAAATATGAAAGACCATCTAAACCCAACAACGATGGAATTAACTTGTTCAAATTCAACCTACAACCAGACAAGACATGGAAAATAGGATTTGGAATGCCATTCACAACCCACCAAGGACCGAAATTGAATGCGCAGTTTTTTCCTCGCAAGAGAGGCTCCAGCAATGAATGGAACGTGATGGACGGTAATTTTAGTATTTAAGGAGGAATTAAAAAAACTTTTAACAGCTCGATTCTAATTTCCTTAGACCAATTAGTAGTAGTTAGTTTTACAATTATCAAAGTTATTATTATTATATTATTATGTGTTTAAAATGATGTTTATTTTTGTCAATATGCCAAATTTTCGCTTCTAATTGACTAAAAAACAACAGAATGCCAAACTTTTTAAAAAATTTTTAGAAAATTGGGATGGTCAATTAATTTTTTAAAACTATTATTATATTAAAGGTTAGGTTCACTGATTCAACAAAATCTGTCCGATATCAGAACAGCTCAAATTTATGGTTTTTCTAGTGAAAATAACAGCTGTTCTGAAGCTGTTCTGAAGCTAAAGCCGCAGTGATTAAACAGTTTAAGTAACTAGAACAACAAGAACAAGTTAGAGAGCAAAATTTCAATCAGCAAAATTTGAGTTATTTTAGATTTTTAGAGAGTTATTGTTATTTAATTGTTATTGTATAATTTAAAACCGCTGACGCAAAAATTACTGACTGAAAACCTCCACAACGTTCAATTTTCAAAGAGTAAAGTGCGGTTTGTAGAGTTGTTCTAGCAAAAATAATAGCTGTTCCAGATTGAAACTAGAAAAACTATGGTCACAGCAATCAACTAGACATTTTGACAGCCAAAGTTGTAGTGATGTAGTGATGGGACGAAGCTTGTAGATACCTGTTCGTGTATGTCTTCTGTTCTGTATCTCATCTGTCTTCCTAGTGACCAATATATCCAGGAAAGGTAACTGTTTGCAGCTTCCGTTTCCATGGTATATTTGATCAAATGGTCAGAACGGGTGCCTACAGGCTTTGTCCCATCACCGTCAACAACAGAAGAGGTTAGTAATCCAAACTTTATTCCTGCAAGCAAAAAGGATATGCGACGAAGTAGAAGGTTGCAAGATGGCCTCCGAAACATCAAACCCTTTTTTAAAAGATGCATGGCAATCGAAGTTTCTAATTCTAGATCTTGTGTTAGTTCTAGTGATAGTGCTAGTGGTAGTTCTAGTTATAAAGTTTTACTTATAGATATTATTCAATTTT